GTAGTGTCATCAGCAAATAAGACCATTTTCACTAAAGCCGAAACCTTGCACATATCGTTAATGTATAATATGAATAATTTAGGTCCCAAGACTGAACCTTGAGGCACCCCACATACAATTTCCAGATTACTCGACTGATGTTCACCCAACTTCACAAATTGGCGCCTCTGTGTCAAATAACTTCTAATCCAATTCAAAGCCACTCCTTTTATCCCATATTTTTCTAGCTTGCACATTAATAACTCATGATTGATTGTGTCAAATGCCTTTTTTTTTTAGGTCAATAAATATTCCTATTGTGTATTTCTTTTCATCCATGGCACTTGTAATGTCCTCCATCAGGTCGGTAATGGCCAAAGATGTCGACCGGTTCGACCTAAATTAATATTAGATCAAATAATATCACATATCAAACAGTCACTCCTAGCTGGAAAACTTTGTCAAACATTTAAATTAACCTATGACGTGTTCACATATGCCGTTTGTGAGAAAAGGAATCAAATATGAGTTTCTGTTTGATAAGGACATCTTTTTGATTAAGTATGTTTTTTGACTGAATTGGTTTTTTGTCTTACACTTTTTAACAAAAAAATATTCTCTGTAATATTTTCAGTGCTATAAACAACCTTTGAAGCCACACTGAGTTAATCATCACCTGTAGGACTTTACTCCAAAGACTACAGTTCTTTAAATTGTAGAAATAATAGCCTTGAAACTTAACAACGGTTCAGTGGCACATTACCTTCAAAGGCTCATGCTTAGTTTAATATTTAATTTGGAAGGTAAAATGCAGTGTTGTCCCATAGGGAGGTGCTTCAGGGAATTACTACTGAATTGTTAAATACAGCATGTACCTGCCACCTCATCAGTCTGGTCAGACATGTCAGCCAAGACGCTCAGAAAAGGGGGTTTCTGAAGATGAAAGAAAAAGGGAATCTTTGTGTCAACAATATGCTCTTTATGAAGGAAACTCCCACTTAAAAATATACATTTACTACCTCATTGCTGTTTATTTTGAATTCAAATGTAATAAGTAGTTTTATACAGGGTGACTTCAAAATGCTGATCCTAACAATAGAGCAGGGTGCTAGCCTGCACAGCTAGCTACTAGACTGCCCACTCATCTTTTACCCTCGCACACAACAGACACGCACAAACTCTCACACCTCCCCAGTCTCCTCTGCTTCCTGTTCTCTCACAGGCTGTCGCCCTCACAAGTTGTATTGCAGAAAGAGGAGGTGACATGGGCACACCCACGAGCACACACACACACCACTTCATTTCTCACTGGGTTTTTTCTGTCGCTGCTACACCACCACCTCATCTTCTGTCTCTCTCACACTCTGTCGCTCAGGGTTCAGTCATGGGTTAGCTGGCACAGTCACAACATATTGGATTTCATGCTGAATATCCAACTGATTTCTGTTTGTTTTCATCAGTGTTCATGTATTTCATTAGAGTTTCACATGACGTAAGAGGCAAACAATAGTTTTCAAAACCTTGGACCAGTGAAGTGATAATGATTCCCCATCTGCACCTTCTGGATAATTTCATGGGTCCTCTTGACACCTCTTGTACCAAAACGAGCAGGGCGGACACTAGAGACAGATTATAAAAGGTACCAATAAATGTCATTTTGGCATAAACACAGCCTTTGCTCCTCAAACTATTCAAACCCAGTCTCAGCACAGACAGTGATCCATGCCAACCAAAGCTGTGAAAACAGCTTACTGAAAAAAAAAAAAAGACGCTCCCACGAAGAGCTCTCCAAAGTCACATCATTTCTCTTTGTCAGCTTGATATAAATTCTCCATCCACTAGACACAACTACATGCACATCAGTGTGTGATTAAGGCCATAATGCCAGTGAGGCTGAGTCTATACTGTGGTGGATGGGTATCTGTCATCCACAGATGTTTGTATGCTGTGTGAGACCCATCACTTTTGGTTGATTAAATCCCCACAGTCATCTTATCTGAAGTCAGCAGGACAGGTAGATGCGCTCCAACAGCAACAGTTATTTTGAAGGATGTGCTGCACATTTTCTAAGAGCTGCCCCAATTACATGCACCACTTCCTGCGTGGGTGTCTGGTTTAAACCTTGCACACTAACCAGTCTCAGGCCTAACTGTTCTGCTCTCATTTTGTCTTGTGTTATGAATCCAGTGCACGTCTTTCCTTTACAGTGATGCACTTTAACCCCTCCCTAAAAGACCAGCTCACTCTCAGCCAGACTGTGGCATGTTTAGATCAGCCAAAGTTTCTACTCAACGTGAAATTCACTTGCTAGCAAATCTTATTAGCCTTCTGTCACACAATGGAGCAGTTTGATTAGAGCCACAAAAAAAAAAGCTCAACAACAGGCAACAATTTTATTTATAAAATAAATGTAGAGTAATTTCCTCTGAAATACCAATCACTGTAAAGCAAATTAAATCCTTAATTTGGTTTTAATATTGAAGAAAATCCACTATTAAAAAGACAAGTTTCTTTCCAAAGTGTTCCAAGAAACCTGGATAAGGTTTTTACATTTCATAATCTATCACAGTACTTCATCAGGTAGCATGTTTGAGTTTTTTAAAAACAGGGTAAGGGCGTTTCTGACAACAGGATATTATATTTACAACAAACACAAAACCAGGACACTTTCCTATTAATGTAAATGCAGTCAGGGAAGATCTTAAATAAATATGGTAAATGGTAAATGGACTGTATTTATATAGCGCTTTTTTCCAAAGCGCTTTACAGGGAGATCATACCACCATTCACCCATTCACGCACACATTCACACACCGATGACGACAGCTGCCACACAACGGCGCTAATCAAGCCACCGGGAGCAATTCGGGGTTCAGTGTCTTGCTCAGGGACACTTAGGCATGCGGGGAGACCGGGAGTCGAACCACCAACTTGCTGGTCAGCGAGACGACTGCCCTACCTCTTGAGCCACAGCCACCCCTGCTTACAATATGCTTACAATGTATTCTATCAAATTCCCACCATCTGTTGGCTTTAAATGTAGCTGCAAAAAGTTTATATTCTTCACACAGGAGGGAACCACAGTCAGCGTAAAGCGGTTATAATGAATATTTATAAAACAATGTCAAACGAAAATGCAAAAAAACCCAAAACAAAACTTGACAATGTGAAAGGGGTTGTTCATGATGAAGAACCCACTGAGAATTATCACCAAATCTCCAGCTCCCCTGGTGTTTATGGAGCTTTGTAGTGAGTTTGAGCTCATTGTTTAGCTGTGCGCCTGCAACTTTTCTGATTTGACTCACTCTCACTGCTCTCGTAGTTTCAGTTTTTAACCGTTTTCAGCCAAAAAGAGAAGCTCTAAAAGCCCATTATACTATGTGCTTGGTTAGCTATTAGCTGACGAAGGTAGCAAAGCATTTAGCAGCTAAAGGAGTTGGTAGAAACAATAACACATATAGAGGGTGAGTGAATATTGGATCTACGCCCATCAGGTGGCGAGAAATAAGACTCCAAATGAATGACAACATTGTGCAAGTCAAACCCAAAAGACACAAACACATACAAAACACCCCAAAAAAGTAAATGCAGACCACATTACTTGCTTCATTTCCCACAGTAGATGCCACACACACACACACACACACACACACACACACACTAGTGCCACTAATGATATGCTTCTTAATACCACACCTTTGTTAACTCACAACATAACCATGCAGAGCGAGGTCTTTGAACTGCAGCGCACTCATCACCCCAGACTCACCCTCTCCCTCACCCACAGAGCTTGGCCACTGTAATCTACTGTACACTCCCTGGAGAGGTGAGGGTATCAGCAGCATGAATAATTAGGCCAGATGTCCTGTTTTGGGCCAGCAATACCCAGCTACATCACCCGAATTCAGTGCAGGCACACAAGAGAAATCTTCATGAGAAGAAAACACAGGACAACAAAAGGTAAAGTGCAGAGGGGCACAGGTGTGATTCTATCATTGCCACAAATACCAGTATTGGAAAAAAAATATTCAATCACTGGAGAGGAGAGCAGAGGAGACCTAGATATCACTGCAAGTCCCCGCAATCACATTTTTCAATGTCTGAACCACTTAGAAAATGAGAGGAAGATGGAGACAGAAAGAGAGAGAGAGAGAGAGAGAGAGAGACATACACCACATCTTTCCTACTTTAATGCAGCGGTAAAAAAAAAAAAATAACATGAAGCCCCAAGGCAGCTTTCTGGTTTTTGGTAATCTTCAAATCTCAACCCTAATGCTCGTTCTTACCCATCTGAAATGCTCCCAAAAAAGGCAGAGCAGCCGTCTGGATGGCTGGCTAATTGACTGGGTGAGTGAAATCATTGTTGTGAACTGATGTGCTTTTTAGCTCCACTAACAGTGCACTGGTTCAGACAGAGTTCAGTGTGCCACAGTAGACGGTCTGGGGATCTGAGCTGTGTGTGGCTGAGCTGACAGAACACACAGTCACTGCCAATTCCACGAATCCACTAGAGAAGTCGCTTTTCTGTTACCGAAAGGTGATGAGCACTTTATACAACTGTGCATGGAGAAAAAAAAAAAAAGAAATAAAAAGGTGCAAAATTATATTATAGTTTTTACTACAAAGAGCAGTCATCATTAACTATGTAGTTCTGCCTTAAGAGTTTTAAAGGCAAAAAAAGATAAATCCACCTACGGGCACCTAAAAGCTGACTAATAAACCTATTATACATCTATCCATCTATCTATCTATCTATCTCTATATATATATATATATGGGCCGTTACTAATCAGATCAACACGAGCGATTAAAAGGCTAAACCATCTGCTGAGCACAGTCATTTTGTCAGTCAGTGTGAGAAGTTTGCTTTAATTAAGCTGTAACAAATATCAGTCTTCTGTTTTTCAGTCACCTCTCTGTCAGTCTTAGAATGGCAACAAGGACACCCGTTTTCACCAGTTTTTGTAGAAAAGTAGTACACACACAAGAACACAAACACACCTACACAATCTCACACAGACCTAAACACATCGCCTTACTGCAATTAGATTTTTGTTCGCCTCAAATACAACCTAAATGTATGCGGCACACACACACACACATCCTACACGTTCACAAACACACCCATCATCGTTCTTCTACTCCTACATCCAGGGCACCTGAGATAAGCACAAAGTTGAAATCAGTCTGCAGGAAAACTCCGTTCCTTCCACCGTAGAAATTCCACAAACTTTGAGACATACTGTTGCTAAGCAACAGCAGAGCTGTATCCCCCTCTCCGACATCCATTTTGGTTTAGTTTCTGCATATTCCAGCTTTGACTCAGACCTCTGATCTGAAATTATTCTAGTTTATGTAAATACACTTCATAAGCATTAGAGAAGATTTAGCAAATAAACTACTTCAAATTAAACAATTTCTAGTCCTGATTTTATTTATACTATAGTTTGAGAACACCTGCACTAAACAGAACTGTAGATGGAAACGGTTATAAACAAACCCAACTCACTTATTAAAATATACCCAAAACATCTGACTTCTCTACATGCCAACATGGCGTGTGTAAACAAATTACAGCAGTGAGGAAGATAAATATTTAGCTTCAGAATTATACAATGTTTCCAACTGTTATTTTGCCATCTGTTTGACTCACTTTGCTGGGTCCAGATTATTACACAGCGAGATGTTCACTGTGTCCGATTAAATTCTTCAGACTGCAAGTTTATACTTGACAATTCACTTGCTGCCCTTGTTCATAACTTGTGTGAAGGAGGAACCAGCAAAATGTCAACAGGATGGTTTGTCTCGTGTGCAGAAAAGTACAAAAAAGGATTACATGAAGAAGGCAGTATGGGTCGTCTATCCTTCAAGGAGAACTTGAAGTAAAACTAACAGTGTGATTGTAGCAACCGTAGCAAATCGATATGCTAACG